TAACACTCATGCCTCGCAGCAAGAAGCACCTGGGTTTGATTCCAGATTCGAGCACCTTTCTGCGTCAAGTATATTTTCTCCCCCCTGTTCTGCATGGGTTTCCTCTGGGTTCTCCCAAGTTTCCAGCCATAGCTAAACGAAACGCACAATTTAACTGCTACAATGTAACTTGTACGATGCACTCTCACTGGCTTTGGCATACCAATGTCCAACAATTGCCTTGCAAATGTAATCAACTGGGTGGGGTCGCACGTAGCAGCAACAGCAACATCACCCCCTGTTTAAAAAAATTAAAAAAAACTTGGCAAGGCCCTTCAGAAAAAGAGAACAAGAGGAGGAGTAATAATAATAGTAGAAGTAGTAATATCTGCAGTTAGGGCAGCGCAGGTGGTTGAGCACTTGACTTACACTCATCCTATTACCCCAAGTTCAAAGTTCAGCCGTTGATCGACTCGGCCCATCATCTCTTTGCCGCTGATGAAATGAACACAACTCTGTGGGGAGTGCGAGTGCTACGGAATGCATCGTGCAACAATGGCCACTTGGGTAATTCGCTAGGCGACATCTTGGACATTCCCGCCATCACTCCCGTGGCCCTCGGCTGGCTTGACACTTCCGGCGTAGAACTCGTCACCCTGCCATACGGAAGAAGGAAGGAAGGAAGGAGAAGGAAGAAGACTTCGACTTCCCCAACGTGCAACGGTGTTCCTGTACACCCTCGGCTTATGGAACGTCTCTTTACCTGTCCTGAGACTCCACGTTATTTGTGAAGTCTGGCACACTGACCACGTGGCACGTGCCTCACGGTCACTCTTGAGCTGAAGCCATAAAGGGAGCACAGCGGTATCATCGCAACCATCCCCAGGAGCAGAGAGGCCTGACGGCTGGCTTTGGGATCACAGTTCTACGGACGGCTGCCGATGCCCAGCGGAACGGAAGTGGCAGAGGTGTTCGGGGTTGAACGAGGTTCATGGGTTCATTAATTTCGTGCGATGGCGATGACGAAAGGCTATGCATTATGTGTCTAAATGTGTAACGGATTAAACACAAAGAGCTCGCTCGAGGAACAGTGCGCTATACAGTAGTTAGGTGGCCCCATCTGCATTGGCCTTCCATTAACATTCTGTTGTCACCCTAATGTGTACTTAAAGCTCAAACACTTGAAAGGTGTCTTTGTATGTGTGTGTGTGTGAATCGATGACCACTTTCAAGGAAATCCACGTATGAATGTGGGCAGCCATCCGTGATTGAACTGGGTTCTCAAGTGCAGCGAGTTAATGGTATCTACCTTATCGCAATAACTGTGCACACAAAGAAACGTCACCTTGAGTTTGCTATATCTCTTAATTTGGCATATTCCGGCTATGGGACCTATGACGATTACATTGATTGCTAAACGATGTCAAATATTTGCGTAACAAAATGTGTCAGGTGGATTAATGGTTTTTGACATTGACTGCTGAAGTACTTTTGTGAAGCAATCTTCCAGGGCCATCCTCTGTCTCAGTCTCTTGACATGACACTGATGGAATCTTCGGGATATAATTGGTGGGAGGCAGCGAGGAGATGTTTTTGAATTATTACCTTTCGCAATGATGAAGTGCATTCTCCTGTCTTGTGGCTAGAGGTCAGCTAACATCTGGATGTAAAGACTGTATATTGTAATGCCATACAGAGTACGTACTTCGTAGTTAAACAGTGCATAAACACCCAGCACAAATTAATTAGGAGCTACCACAACTGAATAGAAATTAACCCGTTCCAAGATGACTGCAAGTTGCAGGGTGGGTGTCCCATTCACTGCTGAATCTCGGAACACACAAGCGATTATCGTTATTAAGAGAGGCATAGCGCCTTTGTTTTTTTAAGATATTGTTTATCACTGCAGAGAACTGTAGCAACACGACCGCACTCTATGACATCCGGCGCCAAACTGTGCCACACGCCCTCCCGCATGGCCTTGTGGGAACCTCGGTACCGATAAAGTTATTTTATTTTATTTTTTCTTACGGACGAAAAACTGACCACGTACATGTACGTCAACGGAACGGGAAAGGGTTAAAATAAATCCAAGCTGGATAAATATATCCACGGTCTGGTTGCACAATAGACGGGGCAGTCCGCACAGCCTCCCTCTACATTTATTTGGGGAATCTGAAATGTTGGTCGTCTGTTGATATGTGATGTGACCTCATGGCCTCGTTTGCTAAGTAGACAAATGGCAGCACAGCAATGGATTCTTGAGTCTATCTATGCAAAGCTATGAGCACTACCCTACTTAATTTTTGGGTTTCTCCTTGTACCCTGGCTTCCTCCCACAAGCCAAACACTCGTGCAATTGACCAAACATCCTAAATACAGGAACCTTCTGAAAAAGAGCCTTGAGACTCAATAAGGCCTTGCTAGGAAATAAAGGCCATTACTATTATGACGTTACATTTTCTGGTATCAGCGCACGATTCAAAAAATCTCTCTTAGCTTCGACTATATCTTTAATCTGCTTCCTTCACAAATATGTTCCTGCACATAAAAAAATAAAAGTATTTTTTACATATCCACTCAGCCGCATGGCCTTCTGGGAATGCATAACACTAAAGATCAAAACTGGTGCAGTCTCCTTATGTTGAACCAATGCTGCTGAGGTTATGCATTCCTGGAAGGCTGTGTGGCTGATGGGATGCGTAAGACATTTTACAATTTTTATGTGAAGGGACGTACATGTGAACGAGGCGTATTGTGTGCTTAGTTATATTTTTCATATATCCCCGAGGTAACTCTAGTTATTTCAGTCTGCCCATAATAAATCTCAATGGGGTTACGTACAAATATTGTTAACCTGTTCAAATCAGCATGAGGTGATGCTCATCTTTATATATGATCACAACCCTGTGGTGGAAATTCTACATTCCTATGACAGGGGCCGGTCCATCCATTGGAAAACCACTGTTGACGTCCCACAAGATCGGTTTCATAAACTCCCTGTCTTCGACAGGGATTTTAGTTTACACACCTTGCAAGACAAGAACTCTTTGCCACAGAGCCACCCAGATGGATCATTCCTGTCAACCCATAGGGTTTACCCGTATTCTTGTACAGGGAAATTGAAGTTCAAGTCGAAACACCGTACAGCCGTTTCAATATGGGCAAAATCATTTTTTTGTCAATTTGTTTGAGTTTCTCCCTTGTGATGGGACTTTGTAGGATGAACGTTGAGATTTATAAGAGCACGGTGTGACCAATAAGGTCTGAATTGGTGTAAGCACTGAGAAGGGGTATACAGTTATGCGTATATGGAATGTTTACAACGTAGCAATTGCATCTGGGCAGTGATGTGGCCCGGCAATCGCACGTTCGCCGCTTGTTGCAGAGGTTCGCGGTTCAAGTTGGGTGGCCACCCTGGTTAATACCGGGCGGGTGTATTAACTGCTTCACAAAACCCCTGACGTCAATTCGCAAGAATATGCCCATTGTGTGTCCTGGTGTCAGGGTACAAATTTTGCCAACTTCAAAAAATATATATTCGCAAATTGCTCAATTGTAATTATACACATTGGCAGACTCATGCCTCACGTCACTCTTGCAGATGAGACGATACCCTGATCTCTTTAGTTCTTACCCGGTTATTCAAAATAAAGCTTGAGGAAACTCGTAGCTTTTATAACGAAAGCGATGATTTCATCGAAAATCCTCATGACTGTTCTCGCATCCTGTTGGCGAATGCAACAATCCACAGGAAAGTTATTTTTTGCACAACAAAGGCTGTCTCGCAGTCATGGGAGTGCAAGTGTGCAATACAAGAGATGGATGCATTACACCCAACGTTGTTGTTGTTTCATGCGCATAATCAGTCTTGTATTGGCTGTGGGTCACAATGGTAAACACAGAGAAAAAATATCGCTTCACCCTAATTTAATTCATCCCCGTATTCAGGGAACTTTAGGTACAAGGTTAATATCCACTGGCGATAAAAACAGATAGTAACGCTGTCCCATTGTATCCTTAATGGCTTGTTTCAGAACAGTGTGCACGTATGCATGTCTTTTTAGCCTGCCTCGTTTTACTGTGCCTCAACTGAAATATAAATATAATGCTACTCTGCAATACATCTGTAAATAAAGGTAGGAGACGGGAACATACAATTATGTTTCTTTTTATAAATAAATACAGTTTTACACTCTATTTGAATGTTTAGGCGTTTTCCTCCATTAGTAAATTATCTATCTTGTGACGAAAATAAATAACGGTCATTTATGAACAGTCATTGGGATGATAATGGAATCTGTTTACTCTGATGAATGTTGATGGTGGTGATCATGATCCAGATGTTGCATTGACTGCTTTGCGAATATTCATCATGGTGATGATAATGGAATAAAGTTATATTAAATGATGATAAACGTAGTGGTGACGGTCCTGTAATGTTGATTAATGATGATAATGGTTTTGTTGTTGATTGTAGCAAAGAGTATATGTTTATGGGAAATATTGATAAGTATGGGCCCTTGCCGAGTTGACAGAGCTATGGGTCCATCCACTTAGCCCATCATCGACCCAGGGTCTGTAAAATGAACCAAGGCTCACTGGGACATCAACATTGGTGGTTCAATTCTACTATGGAGAGTATGGCACCCGCCATAGGAATGTGTACTATTTCACCACCGACTCAAGACCACTCACTTTGAGAGATGACTTCTACCCAAAACTTGTTTGAGCGCTAAGAGATGTTCGAAGATATTGACCTTTCAACGTAAAAGTCAAGTGAGCATTAGGTGGTGCTCATTTGTGTTGGTGACGTGGTGGGTTATTACATTTGTTCTGTGGTAAAGGCCAGTTTCTCCATCGAACAACTGTCCGGAAAGAAACATTTATGGGTTTAATTTTCCCCCCATTATTCAAAACCCAGAATCTTAGGAGTGCTGGTTCAGTGCGTGGTGGCGGTATTTTTAACATCAATCGTCGACGCGTCACCTCCCTTCTCTCTCTCTCTCTCTGTCTGCCAGGTAAATGGATGTTCGAAGACTTCGTCAAACGCTTCAAACTGGGCGTCGCAGTGGCGTCTGCCGAGTTCATAACCAAGAACGGCAACGATTTGTAAAAATGGCCGGCCTCACCGCTGTGACGCTTGTGCTTTCCGCTCTTGCCCGCGACGCCGCTCAAACATTGCAAATGCAATCCTCGCCTCTTTAAGCACAGCTACGCACGCGCACTACAACCAGCTCGCTTGGGCTGCTATTTTCCCTCGAGGAATTTTTTTTTTCAAATGAAGCCACAAACCCCTCCCCCCCCTACAAAAAGCTGAAACGGTGTTATTTTCATGATTTACAGCAACAACAAAAAAGAACCCTATCAATCGTGGCGGCGGCAGAAGTTTGCTTCTACAAATTAGAACTGCTGATTCGGCACAAGAATGCACACGTACATGGGGTCTTAAATACCCGAGTCCAGAATGGCAATGACCTGGCCAATCCCCCCCCCCACCCCCCGCCTCCCCCGCCTGTTCTCATGAGTCCAGTGCCTGATTGCCGTCGATGCAACCGCTAATGCCGTCCAGAATGTCAGGATGTTGCAATGTATGATGTGAGGGAGGATGTGGAATAATACAAAATATTTTATTTTAAAACAACTGCTGATTCGGCTGTGAAATCGCAGCTCCCCTAGCGACGGGGACGATGGCTCCCATTCATTACAGCTTTCAAATCTCGCTCTCCGTGTCCTGAGCCCCATAGACCGAAACAACGGGAGCCCCCCGTGTCCTGCGCACTGTGATGCAGCTTGTGCGGCGGGAATGCAGTGTGAATTTGGTTTTGTTTTTTTTTGCTCGTCGTTGCAAGCGTCCCAACAGCTTGCTTCATAACCGTGACGTTAGCATTGCCATTAAAGCATTTTCGTTATAGCATTGTCGTTCGCTTTGTCGTTGGCGTTGCCGTTAGCGTTGCCGTTGTAGCATTGTTGATAGCATTGCCGTTAGCATTGCCGTTATGGCATTGTTGATAGCATTGCCGTTAGCATTACCGTTATAGAATTGTTAATATGATTGCCGTTAGCATTGTCGTTATGGCATTGTTGATAGCATTGCCGTTAGCATTGTCGTTATGGCATTGTTGATAGCGTTGCCGTTAGCATTGCCGTTATTGCATTGGTGATAGCATTGCCGTTATGGCATTGTTGATAGCATTGCCGTTAGCATTGCCGTTATAGAATTGTTAATAGGATTGCCGTTAGCATTGTCGTTATGGCATTGTTGATAGCATTGCCGTTAGCATTGTCGTTATGGCATTGTTGATAGCATTGCCGTTAGCATTGTCGTTATGGCATTGTTGATAGCGTTGCCGTTAGCATTGCCGTTATTGCATTGGTGATAGCATTGCCGTTATAGCATTGTTGATAGCATTGCCGTTAGCATTGCCGTTATGGCATTGTTGATAGCATTGCCGTTAGCATTGTTGATAGCATAGCCGTTAGCATTGCCGTTATGGCATTGTTGATAGCATTGCCGTTAGCATTGTTGATAGCATAGCCGTTAGCATTGACGTTATGGCATTGTTGATAGCATTGTTGATAGCATTGCCGTTAGCATTGCCATTATGGCATTGTTGATAGCATTGCCGTTAGCATTGTCGCGCAGGGGTCACGAGCAGAGCCATGCAGGGAAGGCGTTTGGGGGGGTGAGGGGTGTCGGGGGGGGGGTACTCCCCCCCCCCCGCCCACGACCCCAACCCTCCCATCTCTGCCATCTCTGCACTCGAGCGACAATGCAAACTCCGGTATTAAACTTTGTTCATTTGATTTTTAAATCGACGACGACGATGCCGACGATTAAAAAAATCATCAAGCGTGACGGTGATCACGCCTGCCCACCAAAAAACGACCAGAGCGCGACTTTCTGTGGCGAGACTGAAACTTGCCGAGTGAAAACTCGGACAAAGATGACTTAATAACGGTGTTAAGAGACCACAGCGCTCAGAGGGAGAACAACAATGGTAATTTGCAGTGTATGTCTTTTTAAAAGACTTCTCGAGTTCACTGATTGGGTGACCAAATCAGGGCGGCACGATGGCCAGATGTTAACTACCTCGCTTGGAATGGAGGAGGTCGTGGGTTCGATCCCAACCCTGACGCCTGTATATTAGGAGTTTGCTTGTTCTCACCGTGGTTGTGGGGATATTTGTTTTTTTTCCGGGCCCTCCAGCCTTTCCCTCCACATTAAAAAAAAAATGCGTTGAGTATTTGGCTGCAATGCATTGCCACGTGATAAGCCACCTTTGTTGAGCTGTCATTTGTGGTCAGGTCGCTTCTGAAGAAGAGCTGTATAGCTCAGTGGGCCCATACCTGATTAAATGAAAATAGTTTGGTTTATATTGACGGGATGCCCCTCACCCAAACAAATACCGAAGAGGGAACCATTTCACCCGTTTCGTCAAGTCCACTAAGATAATCTCTCAACGAAAGCCGTCGATTAATAATTGACGAACATTTCACCGGTTGTCCTTGACTCGAGGAAGAAGAGTGGCTCAAATTTTCGAATAAAAAGTTGACGATTAACACTGCGGGTGGGAATCCCCACCTTGTGAATGTAAGTGAAAGGACCGTGGCGAAGACATCACTAGGGGGCACTGTAATTGCAGTGGGTCTCAAATCACATTGGGTGCGACTTGCAGATCTTATTTCTCATCACTGGGGCTTCTGGCTCACCCTTCACAAGCTGCGATGCAGCCAACCACCTCGGTACTGTCGACAACACGGCAGGCTGTTTGTTGTTCGTCCTTCAAATATTCCCGTGTGAACTACATTACGATCAATTGCAAATGAACGAGAGAACTTGGAAATAATGTTGAACTGGGTGAGCTACTGTTCATAACTCTTTGGGATTTCGCTTGCTCGAATCGCGTTTTTGAAAGCGTTGGAAGTATACTTTAAGTGTGCTACGTTGCCAAATTTTTCGTGATGACTTGTTGTCGTTCCAATGAAAGGGATCGCGCATATGCTTGTTTTATAATTACCTTTTTAATCAGATGCGGTCCCATTTAAAGTGAAATTTCCTCTTCGTCTGCAAATTCAATCGGTGCAACTTAAGGGTGGTGGGTGGGGTGGGGGCGGGCATACGTCACTTGGGCTGTGTTTTATGCAACCGCCCACTGGACTAAAGACAGAGCGTAAAGCAGCAACAAGGGACGTCTCGACACAGCCAACATTTGAAGCAAGCCATCGCGCATGCCAGAATCGTTACAATATGGACATGGGAGAAATGACGGCCCACGCTACTTTTCACTAATACGGGGCAAAGGGGCCCCCTTCTCACAAAAATGCGTGGAGGCCGTGCTCGTGTCCATTGGCAGATCCGAGTCGGTGGAGGACATTCTCACTTTACAAACCCCCGGAGAGATGATTGGTCAGTTGATTGCGATTGCGCGGATATGTTTTTTCGTATACATGCCAAAAAAATGTGTTATTTGCTTTCTTACAGCTGCATTTCCCCATTGTTAATAATGTAGTGGAAAACGCAATATGTTCGTCAACAAGAACCAACTTAAGTTTTTGAAATGTGTAACTATGTATGACAACGGCATTGAATGGTACATGACATATTTTTTACTTAAAATTGGATTTTTAACACCATGGCATGTAACAATAATCAGCCCTTCATTTAGTCCCAATTATTGAAATTGCATTGTACGTAGTTATATTACTATTGAACAATGTACGGATTAATGCATTGTCAAATTTCTGCCAAAAACATTATTTCACGATTCAAATCATTGCCGCCTTGAAATGTATGCACTGTGAAAAACACAAGTGCACATTATTAGACCAATAATTATTGCAAATAGTTTTTTTTCATTTGGATGTAATCATACATTTAAAATAGTGTTGCAAGCACTGCATGCTTACCGAATTTAACGTATAGATGCACGCTGAAAGGTCAGAAATTGCATTTGCAAGCTTTGCTATTTGCTTGATATATCTATGCTTTGTAGGTGTTGCAATTACATATTGTCTGCTTTGGAACTTTGCAAGAAGTTTGAAATGTGGCTCAGAACGACAAAGATTCTGCATTTTAAAATAAACGACAGCTCATTGCTTTTCCTGGTCGGTCCGCTTGATGTTCAACACAATGCTCCATATTCCACGTGCTGGGAGGATGTTTCTGGCGTGTGGAGCAAAACGTTGGACATCATGACAAACAACACCTGGTACGACCCGATAAAGCATTCGAGCGAGAGAAATTGTTTAAGTACTCGCACAACAGAGAGTAGTTTGGAAAGTCTGCTGCAGATAAGTTGGATAATAGTTGCATTATATTTTAAAGCTTATAGCACCATTACCCAAAGAGCAACGCAACTAAGTAAGAACGTATCTATTGTTACGGCTTTGAAAGTGGTTAACCTTGTGAAAAATACGGCAACAGTTGGCTCATTAGGCCCTGTGAATAACCATAACGAGTCACAAGCAACAGGTGATATTGGCATGAAAAATGTTTGCAATCTGGGGGGAAAGTCATTGCATTTTCCCAGGCGACTACTTTCCATACACGTGCCTGACGCATCACAGGGCACGCAATGTCTATTGCCTTGCAACATTTCTTCTGGGAAACAGCCCTGCTGCTCAGAAACAAGGGGTGGTCATTTCCCAAATAACATACCCCCCCCCCCGAAAACTTGTCAGGGCCCTCCTGAAAATGAGTCTTGAGACTTAGCGGGGCTTTCCTGGGCTAAAACATATGGAATAAATGGGTGTACGTCCACCGATCGCTGCCGTACAACCGTTGCATTCCCGTCCCACCGCTGTTGCGCCACATCGGTGAATTATTTTTTCGTCGGTGACATTTCTCCTGCGCTCGCCAGGGCCAGTCTAGGCGTGCCCGCCACGGACCGGGAGATTCGCTGCGGTTGATTGCGGTGCGCGTGGTAACGTTCGGAGATGGACGGCACGTTAGGATTCGCTTGTCTGAGAATGTGGAGCAGTCCTCTTTGTCATACGCTCTGCCGCGTGAGGTGAAGTCACAGGGTCTTCCAACCCCTTTTGCTAAACAGCCTCTCTCTCTCTCTCCTTGGCGCTGTTGAACTCTCCGCGAGAGAGGCCACGGCGGCAGAACTGTGTGATGGGGCGAGAGCGCTGTGGTGTTGGGGAATGGTGCAATAAAGCATTTTAAAGAGCTGTCACTGTGAGTCTGCGTACTCGTGTTTTTTTATATCAAAGTGTCTCTCTGTTCATGTGACAGCGATACGCTACGTGTCTCTGTTGGGAGACCAACCCTGAGTGAGTGGTGGAAATTACGCTTTTTTATGATCGGACCGTTCTCTATGTAGGGCAACCACAGTTGACTCGAGTTTGTGACTTGAATACTCTACCAAGAGCAACATCCAGCTGGGTAAATATTGGTAAAATAGAAAGAGCTGTATACATGTTCGAGCAAAGTTTGATGTCAAAGTATTTGCTATGAATATGGTCATGGTTACGTGGAATGAGGAGACCCAAGTCTCTTGGTTGTGTAGAGGTGTTAACTACGCACTGTTGCGTAACCTGCATTGCCACCAGGGCAGTGCAGCATTACCTCTGGGTACAACGGTTGGGATCAGTCGAGGTGAAACGGATCGTAGCCAGGGTTTGGTACGAACCAATCAGACGGTTCCACGTGGGAATGTATGATTGGTTCTGCTTGGCCACGAAGGAGCATAAGACGGGTGACCCAACGGACCTCGGGGAGTTCTCTCCCTACACGAAGACAGAAGACTGGGCTGAAGCCTAGCTAGGACCCTGGACCAGCCTTCCAGCCCTTCTAAGGACTAAGGCTCGGCATACCCAGTGGTCAGGCCCCTCTCGGCCAGCGGTGGGTCAGATAGCCTCCCCTAGGTCCTAGCCGGAGGACTAGGATAGCGGTAGACGTGTGAGTCCCGCCAAGTCCGGAGGCTGTACCTCCTTAGGTATCAAGGAGGTTAGCGGTAGATGTGTGAGTCCCGCCAAGTCCGGAGGCTGTACCTCCTTAGGTATCAAGGAGGTTAGCGGTAGACGTGTGAGTCCCGCCATGTCCGGAGGCTGTACCTCCTTAGGTCTCAAGGAGGTTAGCGGTAGACGTGTGAGTCCCGCCAAGTCCGGAGGCTGTACCTCCTTAGGGTATCGGGTGAGGGGACCGTATATCCCTCTGTGTGTGTTAAGCATTGTATAAGGAAATAATACAATGAACATAGTGTGCCTCCTAAGAAGTCTGCTCGTCCTTACAACACTACAGTTGTGTGTGTTGGAAGGATTGGCCCACTGGCTAAGCCCACTGCACTACAATGTGGGTGACATGGCTGCGATTCCTGACCAAGCATGTCAGTGGGCCTCCCCTCGGCTGACTCAGTCTCAAATCCGGTAGCGGTGTTTAAACATCAGCACGGGGCAGATAAAAGCAGCCGTGCGTGGGGCCGGCCACAAAACCACCGCATGCACCAAGTCAGGCTCTATGAGTGTTCTCTTAGCGCGCTTGGGAGAGGGCTTCTAAGTGGCAGAAGCAATGGCACATTGGGTGCGGGCACAACGCTACAATCCGAGCGATCTTGGTTTAAACTATAATTTGTACTTTTTTTTATTTTACCAAGTAAGACCCACTCTGGTAACATCGACGTTCATCACGGACGTCTGCAGTGCCACAAAGCCACGTTCAATTCGTATCGCTACAACGGCGTTAAGGTCAGCATGTTCTCTCTCTCTCTCTCAGACAGTGTATTCAGCAGTGATTGTTGGATGTAAACACTTGTTTCTGCCATAGGAATGTGCAATTTCCGCCGCTGGCTAAGAGCTGCCAACAGAGATGAGCAATGTCCCACACTAACTCTAGCAGCGAGACACGTGAATGCACGGTGTAGTTTTTTTTTTACGCATTCGTGTTTCAATTTAAGCGTCACAATATCGTGGCGCTGCGTTTGGTTGTGGTGCATGAGCACCAATAACAAAGACGTAACACGTTCGTCAATAACACTGCACTAAATGTAAAATAATATATAATTGGTGACGATTCGGGAAAAATGGCCCTTTATTATCTCTCTGCTATGAAGAAGAAAACGTTGCCTGTTCTGTATGTTTGCTTTCTTCCC